TTTTTTATTTTTTTAATGTTTATTTATTTAGATTTTTGTTAAAAAAAAAAAAGTTTTTGGGGGGCGGGGGGGGGGGGGGGGGGGGGTAAGGTTTGTTGTTGTTTACAGCTGCTAATTTAAACGTACAACTTTCTTTTCTATTCAACCGTCAAAAACCCTGATATTCTAAACTGGTATAACATTTACCATTGACAGAAAATAACAGCTACAATCCCTGCCAAAATAACAAAAATGTATCTTGAAGGTTTCTCATCACCTCTGACCTCTCTAAGTAAACACGTGGCTTCAGTGTGCAAAAGCTTCACATTAGAGAGAAAGGTTCTTTCTGCAGATTCTGATTTCCAATTTCTATAACACCTTGAGCTGCACATATCAAATGCCCCGCTTGAAATTTGTAACAGAAATAGCTCAAAAAATAAAATAAAATAAAATAAACGTGGAAACTTAAATGGAAATCAACAAGCACAGACTTGGGTCCAGTCAAGACTGCGTGTGCCGACAGGCGTGAGCATGACTGCCGCTGCCTTCATTCCTCCTGCCTTGGCTCACAGGACTCCATTTCACTGGAGGCCGGACTTGTTTAACAACCCTCGCTGAAATACAGAAAGCCTAAAGCCATGTAATCAGATGATAAAACTGTAATTGCTGTGGAAATTGCTTTAATCCAACTGTGGTTGTGACACAATTAGGATGAGTCTCAGATAGATAATGTGACTTAATATGACAATATCCCAACACATGACCTCAACCGCCCCCCTCTCTCTCCACCCTCCCGACGTTTGGATTGTGATTTTGCCAATCAAAATGAGATACGAAGGAACTGTTGCTGCATTATGCACACCGCGTTACCAGGCGATACTTTTGAGATTGAACTTAACAAATCAGAGTCCTGACACTGCTCTTATGACCAGCAGGGTTGCATGTTGAATAAGAGGATAATATGTTAATGCAGCGCTGTTAGCATACATTTATGTTTTTGATGTCGCTTTGATTCTCCTGCTCCGTCAACAGCGAAGCCATGAAAGCGCCTCCGTCGGCCTGTGTTTATTTATTTTTTATTCTTTGGTTCGGTGCGCTTTGAGGGGTGGGGGGGGTGGGGAAATAAAGCACACCCCGAATTACTCTTGGCAGTGAGTGTGATTGATTTAAACACTGCTTGAAGACAACACTCGCGATCAATTTGGCTGTCCTTGGTAATGTCATGGTTGTTTAACGTCGGCTGTGATCTCATTAATCATTTCAGTGGGGAAAACTTAGCAAAGGTTTTATAAAGTCGGGAGAAGTTTCAGCACATTTTTGTAAAAGGTAGAGTAAGCTAATAATAAACTAGCATCTGTACAGCTATTTCCTTGACAAAATGTCTCACAATAACAGACCAAAAATAAAAATGCATTAGTAGATATTTTGAAAGCATTATCAAGGTTCATTGAGGCCCAGCACTTTTGATTATATCTGGAGGGGGGTTGAGGGTGCAAATTATGAAATGCCAAAAGCTGGAATGTTCTCATTCTTTTCATCTGAATAAAAGTGGAAAGATGGAAATTTGTTCTGGGTACGTTCACCAACAGGAAGCACCAGGAATACCAATGGGGTGACCATGACTTTGACACACTGGATTATATTTGAACGTGTCTTGATTGTGGCAAGTTTGGAAAATCTAATTTCATTGTGCGAGCAATCGCAACCCTTTAATAATTGGCATCCTGACCCTCTTACAAAAATATTACTGCCACAGGTAGTCTTTCTGTAAAATGACATTTGGTGACCTTGATTAAATCTGCACAGTTATATGGTTTATATGGTACATTTCATAGGAGGTTTCTTCACTTCTGCCATCAGTTATTTTCCAGCAGAAATGAATCCATGAGCGTGCCATCCAGCGTAATGAATACAAATGTTGTGCACTGTTCTGTGGGTGTCCGCCGGCAGGGATGGTCAAAAGCAAAAAAATAAAAAATAAATAAAATAAAATCTGACATTTATTTCAACAGGCACACTACGGACACCAAAACTCTGAAGCCTGTTGTTTATTTTCAAATTGAGATTTATTTAAAAAAATGATTTTCTTCATTCTCCGACTGTCTGAACAATATTAAGATCATTACCATTGTTTTCTTCAAAAGGTATAAAGGTATAGAAGTCATATTAAGCATTCATATTAAGCATGTCGTCTAAAAAAAAACACTCACAACCCCTAACAACCGCCTACTGCCCAATTTGGAGGTGTGTGTACTAACTACACCTGCTGCGGTTGCCAGACTAGGAGCCCTATTTACGTGGGCGCCTGCATGTATGCGTCACCTTGCGAACGGGCCCAGTATTTGTTACTGTGGAGATTGTGGATTGTTGGTTGCAGACATTTGGTGAGATCCGTTGACTTTGCAGCCAGAGAACAGGCGAACTGGGATGTGCACACCAGCTGTCCCACAAAAAGCTTTACAATAATTAATTGGAGAGCGACAGCCCTGGTGTGGACATGATGGGGTTTCCATCTTGCAGCATGACCAGTCCTGATTTTAATTCTCTGATTAACAATCTGCACTACTCGAACTTTCACATATATCAGGAGTAATAGGAACTGAATTACATTTTTAATGCGCCCCGGAAAACATCTTCATGACCCTGCAATCACAGTCCATGTAGCGGCTGATTTTTAATCCTTTAGTGTGGTCTGAGTTTGTTTTAAAGGTCGCACTTAAAAAAAAAGAGAGCAGGTGACCCATCTTAACCACAGGTCACAAGTACTCAAATTAAGGTTCTCCAAATTAGGTAAAGAAAGTAAGTTAGAGAAATTTCAACCAGTTACTTGTAACCTATTAGCACAAATACTTTTAGGTTGCTGCATTCTCTTTTTTTCGGCGAGTAAAAGTCACTTTAAGGCAAGAAACACCAGAGGTATTTTGAAGAAATACCTCATCTAAACTTTTTAAATTCCGACCTACAAAAGCAACAGTGGGTTGACTTCAACAATTGGCTTAATATACCAGCAAGCAGGTGCGATTCAGGCACAATAAACTCTGTAAATGTGGACTGGGTACAGCTAGTTCCAGCTTCTCGTTTGCTCGCTTTACTCCTGGGAGCTCCAAATCACCGAGTGACATTCTCAGAAGGATGGCGAGTTCATGAGTGTTCTCACAACGGCCAAGGTTTTTACCTGCACGGCTTGCTACTCCGTTGGCTTTCTCGCTGTCCTCCACTTGGCATTTCTTTTTAGCGATCTTGTGAAGGATAGACGCCTTCTCGCGAAATTTACCTGCATGCACAAACACAGAAGAGGAGACTTGCTGAGATTAAATTCAAAGCAGCGCATCTCCAAACGTGCTCAGTTTCGCTCCTTCGTCGTCAACTTTGACCTGTTGCAGGCCACATTGTAGGAAGCACGGGACAAACAGGGAAGCAGTGCTATTGTGTTGTTCGAACAATATGGCGTCAGTATGAGGCGGAGTATCAAATATGGTCGACATTTGCAACGTCTTGTTCCTAGATGGAGGCCGAGAGAAAAATCTGTCTTCTGGAGGTCAGACTCATTTAGTCCTTATCAGCTTTAGGAAAGAGGAAACAAAGCAAAGTTCTTCAAAAAAAAAAAAAAAAAAAAACATCAACATGGAGATCCTGTTTCATTCCCAACAGAAACAGAAAGCAGAACACACTCCAGACACCCTAAAAAAAAAAAAACCTGAGTGGAATCAAAATTTGTGGAGCATGTTTCTGACAACAAATTTAATTTTTATGGTTGTGTGCTTAGCAAGAGAAGAACGTTTTTGAGTAAGCAAATCTACAAGTAAATATTCACGCGCTTTCATGCAGACGTCTAGCTGGATATCTGCATATCAGACCCCGCGTGTCTGTTCTCCCCACGCTTGATTTCCACCACTGAAATCGATGCAAAAGATTTTTTTTTTTTCATTTATTTTATTTCAGACAGCACGGCTGATTTGTCAGTGCTCGACACGGTAAGGCGTCAATATGTACTCCACCCAGCCATGTCGACACTGTCTGTGACCTTCAGGCAAAATCATTAATAACCCCAAGTTGGCTGGCTGCTCCTCTGCTCCCGTTTCCTCTCTCTCACTCCTCGTCTCTGCATCGCTTCTCTTCCTCTTCGCTCATCCATCTTTCTCTCACCTCGTCTTTCCGTTGTTTGGCAAAGCACGACCCCGCCCCACACCCCGCCTCCCGGTGCCAAAACGGCAACACGAACACACACGGCACGCGCCACATTTTCACAAGACGGCGTCACATGTTCGAAAGCCCAGACGTCACTCACCTCAGGCGGTTATTCTCAGTTGCTTTTTGTGTTTGACAGCGAGTGTGAATTTGTGTAAAATGTGGGTGAGAAATCGTCGACGAGTCGTGCTTTCGGCCAGGAAACACTCGAAGAACCCAACCAAATTTATGATCAGTAGACTAATTTTAATCTGAGCAAATTCAAAATGCAATTTTCAAGAGATGATTGTCCAAACCAATCTGACTGCTTGGGAGAAAGAACAAAAAAAAAAGCCTCCAAATCTAAAAACTTACTGTGCCATCCTTGGCTGAGGCAAACACCGTCAGAAGTTGCACAGGAGTTTTTGACCTCTTCTTTGCATAATTGTTTGGAAATCAGTGAAATTGGATGGTTTCTGAAGCATTAATCGCATGACACAGCATATATGTCAGAGTCCAATTAAGAGTTTGCTTAGGTAACATAATAATAATAATAAAAAAAAAACTATGTTTCATGCAAAAGTCTTATGACTGTGTTAAACTTTGGTTTTAAAGGTTAATAACTGTCTCAACTTAGGGTTTATGTCACACCTTTATTTGAATTATTCTGCGTATGATATAAACTTCTCTTGAAGGCCCACTTTTCAGGTCAACTGTCCAAGTTTATATCTGGAGCTGCAAGTTTCAAACAGACGTCCAATCTCACAGCAGCCTGTTGACAAGCTACTTTTTTATAGCTTGTCTTATAAATATTATTGAATTAAATTTTTCCTTGGGTATAAAAAATATATATTTGGAAACTGACTCTTTGTTTCATCTCATCTTGCTCAAGATTTCTAATAAACCCGACTGAGACCTTTTCATCTTAACAGTGATTGGATAAATGAAATGTTTGCCCAGCACCTGCCCAAAACCTTCAAAGAATTTATATTTCTGAGGCGTTCAGAGGTGATTCGTTGTTTGCTTCTCAACATTGTTCTGCAGGTTAACCCAAGTACATGTGAACTTAAAATTCACATGCTAAACAGCAGGACCCCTGGTTATTAAGCACTGGTTCTACCACCGCCATGTGTGAAGGTATGCTGCTGCTTTCAAAACATTTTTTTCCCCATTTATGCCAGTAATGGGTGACACACTTTCCAAAGAGTTCATCAATATGTTTGTTGGAAGTAGCAGTGGTTTTTGTCTTGGAACTCTCCCGCAGTGCTTAATAACAACGCTAGCTAATGCTAATGTGCTAACACAGCCATCTTTTAAATGTCCTGTTGAGTGAATATGAAGAGCACGTCTGTAAAGTAGATCACTGAGGGTCTACCCAAGGAGAAAGTGCAATTAATTCATCATCCAGTTAGTATCTTTTTATTTCACTTGTGTTATGGAATCATAGACCATTTAACAATTTAGCATTTGGCATAGATCGTTTAGCTTTTTTCTAAGAGAAAATTAAATATGGAAAAAGGTTTATGCTTTTAACGATGTTGCAAATATATGAAGGAGATGTTCTCACAGGCCAACAGGACTAGCTTGTTATTGATAACTTCAGCAAAGAGTAAAAAAAAAAAAACTTCAAAGACTTGCTTCAGTGTGTT